ATCATTAGGAACTAAGAAATTTTATCATTAAGGACTAGGACATCATTAAAGATTAGGGAAAACTTGTATTTTAAAGAAAGTTAATCTTTAAATATCCTCTCAACAAATATTCTATTTTTGTGCTATACCAATTTTATCTAGTTTACTTATATCTACTTTACTATAGCTCTTGACGATTAGTGTACCTGCATAAATGTAAAAATAAGAAGTAGTCTCTCTGATGGAATCAGTGCCCAAGACCTTGAAGTTGGCCACACACTGTAAGCAGCACAACCTCCAATCATTTTCTAATGAATGCTGTTTAAATTAATTTAAAAGACATTTAATCCTCTGTATTACATCATTAAAATTAACATGTGTGTTATTGATGCAATTGGTAACTTTTCCCTTGTTTTCCGCTTTCATTTCCTGAAATCCATTTTGATGTGGCTTTACAATATGTTTGCAACTTGAAATTAATAAAAATCCTCATTGCTTAAAAAAAAAAAAATCTGCAATTCAGAATTTCATTAGGTTGATCCATTCTTTCCTGTTCTCATTATTCTAGACTGTTAGATTTCACTTTTCTATACTTGGTTTTTTCCACTATTGGAAAACTATCAGTTGAGATCTATGGAATTATTTGGGGAAGCACTAGAAGCTACCATGTTCTAGAGGCCTATGTTTTTCTTGTATATAGGACTGAAATTGGAAAACTTGAAGAATGGAAACGTTGTATTTAGTAATATAGGAACAAAATGAAATTGAAACAGTATTCTCAGTCTTTATATCACAAGTAACACAGCAAGTCTTCCAAATCTGATTTTAGACATTTTGAATATCCATTGGGCTCACATTTCAAACAAGGGATTTGAAATAGTGGTCTGTCTCCTTAGCTCTACTTACTTGCCTTTCAGTTGCCTCTCAAATGCAATGTAAAGCATGTACTATGTGCTTGCTCCACATGCCCATGACCAATAAATATTTTACTTTTATCCCCTCCCTTCTGTCGCTCTCTCTTCTTAAACCACTGACAGTGCGATTTGGTCAAACCCAACAGACTGATGCTGCCATGATGTTATTCAACTTACTCCAGCATTGGGCTCTGACAACCACTTCCTCACATGTGATCCAAAACCTTGTCCTGACCCTCCTCCACCTCAAAGCCTTTGCTGGTTAACCATTCTGTAACTGCCTCATTTTGGAAACTGGTGCTCTAAGGTTCTACCCTCAGCCCCCTTCTTATCCACCTACAGCTTCTCTGGGAAATGTCATCCACTCTCATAGCTTGACTTTTTCACCTCTAACTTCCTAGTCTACAAATCCCGATGCACTGTGGCTCTTGCCCTGCCCACTGAGAGAAGCCCAAACTCTTGAGTGTGGCTTAGGTTTTAACTATACTGTAAGGGCACATGACGGGCACATGATGTTTTATTCATCTCTATAGTCCCATTACCCAGGCAAGTGCAGACTCAGAGGGCCCTTGATAAAGGCTTGCAGAAAGAAGGGATTCCTCTAACTAGCCAAATTTCTTTGTGTTTCCTCTTCCAACACCTCCACCCCCTCCACTTTCTAGAATTCCTGCCCTGCCCCACTCAGCATCCTCCACAGGATTCTGACCCTCATCTACTCACACTTTGTCCTCAATCTAGAGGAAGAGCATGCCCATTCCTTTCCTGTTTATCCAATCCCTCTGCCCCAACCCAATCCCAGCACCTACACTGGCAGAAAGCTCCCAGGGATGGAAATCATTGTCACATCATCCCCAGACCCTGATACAAAATCTTGGCTACACATTGAATCTATGAAATTTGCTGATGACCTATAGCAGAATTATCCTGTTCCCATTCTACCTTTCTACCATTTATACTTGGCACATCATGGGATGGCAGAGTCTGTAGAGGTCTGTCCTCCCATAGCATGTCCTCAAAGGACTCAGTCTCTGTTTTGTCTTCAATACTCAGCTCACTTCCTTGCACGTAAACAGGCATTCAGAAATGTGTACTCAGTAAGACTCTGCCCTCAAGCTTACAATTTAGTAGGGGAGATAAGATATGCACATGATTCTTAAGTATATGGTAAAGGATGGTAAATACAGAGACAGTGTCTTATGCCTCTTGTGGCCTGCAAGGACAACAAATTTTCAATAAATACAGAATTGCTGGATGAACAATTCCAGTAGTCAGAAAGGAAATATGGTTTTCACTTTGAGGTGGGTTGACATTTGAACACAATCGTGAAGTATAAGCAGAACTTTGACAGATAAGGAGAGGTGGAGGAGTAGGAGTGTATTCCAGGCTGAGAGAAATTTAGAAGGTGCGTGAGTAGTGACCTAGTTTAGTGGAGAGTTGTAGAGAACAGACTGGAAAGAAGGTTGGCACAAGTGGAAGAGGGCCTTGATGTCACGTCAGGAGAGTAAACTTCATTTGGTGGTTAATACATACCTTTGACAGTTTTTGAACAGGAGTATGACACATCCAGAGCTTACATTAGGGAGATTCATCTGGGAGTTCACAGCTGTATCCCCCAATGCCTAGAACACTACCTGGCATGTAGTAGACCATCCATAAGTATCTTGAATGTTTACAGGACCACATTGGGAGTTGTCATTTACCGATGTAGATTTGTAAGGAAAGACAACCATTTGGATCTGCTATTTTCAATTTGACAAATATGCATATAACTTCATCTTTGACCTTCTAACTTTCTCTCACTACACTTGGTATTCCTGTTCCAATTATCATCCCCTCCTATAATGACTACCATAACATAAGAAACAAAAATTCACCTTCTTGTATTTTTTCTCTGTTGTTCAAGTTCTTCCCTCCATAGCTACAAAAAAGAAAATTGTCTAATCCAGCCCTCTTGCACATGACAGTTTGTCAAATTTTGTGTACAGTCATCACGTACAGGTTTCTCTTTTCCAGGTTAGATATCCCAGTGGCCCTTCAATTATGTGATGTATTTATCACCATCCTAGTCACTCCTTTGGAATTGGCCAAGTATATGTGTCCCTCAAACATATAACATTAATACTGAACAATGAGTCCAGAAATGTCCTAATTAGTCCACTTCTCTGGCTTGAAAGTCTTTGGAATTATCCTCAACTAGTCATCCTCTACATAAAACTACCTTATCTATGTATGGTACTTTACTAAAAGCACATTTTCCTTTTCTACGTCTCCCACTTCCAGCCCTTCCTGGTTCAGGCCCTCATCACTCCAGGCCTGCATCCTGTGTCTCCGTTTTCTGCTTTCTTCCCTGCTGCTGCCAGACCTGTAATCCTAACACCATGCTGTCATATGAGGGACAGCAAACACTCATTATGCATCTGTGATGTGCAAGCACTGTGCTCATGCTTCAGGGCATTGTTTATGAGTAGGACAAGGCCTGTCTCTTAAACTATGGGGGCCACAGCCCTCATCAGACTATAACATGTAGAAGGTTGCATTTCAGTATGAATGTGTGGGAGATCAAAATTGGCCACCCTAAAATACGTCTCTTTACCTTTATTATTTTCTCTAACACCCATTTGACCTCCCCCAAACTGCCTAAAGAATTTAACATAGAAGACCTCTTTCAGGAGGGAGTCACTACCATATGATGGCTGTAATATAATGTAAAATAGATGTTACATAGGAAAGGCACCACCAAGCCCATCTTATCAAAGATTCTGTCTCTCCCAGGCCACATTCTCCAGGTGGCCCTGCAAAGCATTGCCAGACAAACATTTACATTTATAAGAGAAATCTCCATTTGTAAAGGTATCTCTCTCTCTGTACTGGGAAGAGGGGAGATGACCTTATCTCTAGAAACTTATCAGTGTAGAAGGTGAGGCCTTAAATCTGCATAATAACCTTACTCTTGTTTACTCTGCTTTTCTGGTAATGTCCCATAACTGACTCCCCCCACTCCCAACATCCTCCTTTGTCTTTAGCTGAAGATAGTATTTAAGATGAGAATCTCTGCCATTTTGTTGAGAAACTCAATTTCCCTGGTTTCTCCCATGTATACATGTTATTAAACTTGGTATTATTTTCTCCTGCTAACCTGTCTTTTAATTATTTGGCCAGCCATAAGAACCTTAAGGGAAAGGGCAGAGGGGGGATTCTCCCTCTTCCCCAACAAATGCATATCCAGGACTGAGGATGGAGAGGGGCATTCTGGCATAAGTTTACAGAGGTGTCATTTGACTAAACTTTTAAGAATGGATGGAATTAAAAGCAGAGCAGAAAAGCATTCCAGGCTGAATCACGGGGAAAGGCATGAGGGATCTAAGTGTACATTGTTTTAAGGGACCCCTAAGCAGAGCAGAAGGGTAGAAGCTCTAGATGTGTTTCAGGATAGGTGATCTCAAAAGGAAGATTAGAGCAGGTAAAGCAGGGTACTGAGGGCCATTCTTTGGAGTCTGTTCTGATGATAGGCAGCCCTGAAAAGGGGACAGTCACGTTCCCAATGCATTTCCAGAAAACACAAGCAGCACTTCTTAGTGGAAGAAGACATTAGAGTCTCAACACTTGGAGAGGCAGCTCAGGCAGCAAGCTCTTGGAGAGGCAGCTGGCAAGCAGGAGTACCCCCAACCCCGGCAGTGACACCTTGGGCGAGTCATTAACTTGCGGGAGCCTCCTTGGCTGGGCTGTGGCGAAGATTAAGCGAGATAATAGGTATCAAGTCCGGCCTCACTGTAAGAAAGCACTAGTTTACTACTGGGACGGTTTGGGCGAGTGGCTCCTGTGGCCGTTCTCCGCCGGGCACCCGCCACCCCAGCGGCAGCACCGCAGGGACATCTGTCCGCAGCCCTGCGGACGCGCGCTATCCGCGGGAAGACTAGAGAGTGCACCCGGGACCCCGCCACCGGTGAGGCGGTGCGCGCCGCTCGGTCCCCTTTCCTCTCCTCCTTCACAAGCTGGAGCCTGGAGGAGGACAAAAGAGCAGGCAAGGATTGGTTCAGCCAGGGAAGAAGGCGGGGCCTTGGCACGGGAGGGAGGCGGGACCGGAGTCTGTTTAGGCCCCTATTAGCTCCGCCCCCTCACTGGGATTGTGCCCTGGGCCCGCGAGGCTGAGCGGTCAGTGGAGCGTTCTTCCGCCTTCTAGTCTTCCCAGCAACCCGTGACGCGGTACGTGTGCGGCCCACCACTGGCCAACCCGGGAGAGCGGGGACTGCATCGTGATCCCCCTATCCCGACGCACCTCCCTGCTCCCCCAACTCGGCGGCCGCGCGCTCCGCCGGCCCCTTTCCTCCCCCGCCCCAGCCCCGCAGTCCGGGAGGCGGGGGTCGGCGAGTCCGCTAAGTGGGAGCCGTGCGGTGTCCGAGGAGCCAGTCGGCGACCGGTGAGGGGACCGAGGGACGGGAGGGCAAGGGTTGGCGCGGGGCAGCGGTCCCCAACTGTCGCCCGTCTTCTTCCCTCCGCCCCGGGCGGCTCGCGGCTGCCACCGTCGGGAGCGCCGCCCCGGCAACGAGTGACGCGGGGTCGCGGCGGAGTGAGCGATAGGCCGGCGCACGCCTGCGGCCGCCGCGCAACCTGCTCCTCCCAGGCCTTGTCCTCCGCCTGTCCTCGCTCGGCCTCCCCCGGTGACCTTCGGGGCCGGTGTCCCCACAACGCAGACGTCGCCACGCTGAGCCAGATTAAAAGGGCAGCAGCAGCACTGGGCTCCTTCGGCGTTAAACGTCCCCCGCTCCCTACCACCTTTTTGGTGCCCTGTCTTGCCCTCCGGGTGGGCTGGCGCCAAGGGCGTGGAGCTGGGGTGAGTCCGGGGTGGGAAGAGTTTTGCCCAAGGAGAATCTACCCAGCAACTCCTGACGAAAGCTGACTGAGGGGTCCGGGATTGGCTCCGCTGCGGGAGAGCCTGAAAGGCGACTTGCTCAAGTGTGGCGTTCCTCATTCCTCGAATAGTCGTGCTCACCTCCCGTTAAGTACTAGGCACCAAGTCTTAAAATGAGTAACCAGCTTGCCTGCTTACTCAAAGCTCTCGGCCTTACGGAAGGCTCTAAGGCTCAACAGATGGCTACGCTGCTCTAAACGTGTGAAGAAGGGTTCTGTAGGGGTCCGGGGAAGGACTTAAAAGTTCTTGCAGAACGTGTAGGATGCTTAGGAGGTAGAAGTAGGAGTCAGACCCCTTCAGTGTCCTTCTTCAATGGAACTTTCCTGAGGAGAATAAATCCTAAAAACTCAGCAACTGCAGTTCTCAGATTTACACATATTTTGACCTTCCCTCTTTTCATATGAAATACTATAGTAGTTTCTTTTACTGAGTTTTCCAAGGCAGGAGTGTCAAACACCCGAAGTCCCCTGTACAAGGTCACACAGCTAGCTAGTAATGGAAGAACCAGGATTTGGACACTGCCTCTCTGGTTCCCCTACATAGGTTGCAATTCTGACTCAGTAAACCAAAGCAGAGTATTTGCAGTATATGCAGTGGGTAGGGCTATGGAGGATAAGATGACTAGAGAGAGAGGCTCTCTTTTCCAGGAACCTACTAACGTTGGAGATTAATCCAGATTAATGCATCATTTTAAAAAAGCGTTGAATGCCTTCTGTGCCCAACCTCTTGCTAGGCCCAGGGAGGGTGCAAAACACCATATAGTCCCTTCCCTCATCCCAGTTCTGGGATGCTCTGGCCCCTCTGGGCTGCAGTCTTGCCCAACTGTCAGAGACACAGAATAAACTATCCTGCTGTGTATGTTCTCTCCCATACATACCTTCTCCACACTTCCCAGATTTTATAGGAATACCTTTGTGAAGGCAAAACTTCCAAAAGAATGTATTTGGATCATGATCAGGCTTTGGCACTTGGGGTGGGAGGGAGCTGTCGTTCCTATTTCCACCAGCTCCTTAAACATATCAGACTGGATCTGAAGCTGGAAGGGGCTGCTTCTTTTGAAGTACTGGGCCTTGTTTCTGTTATGTGGGAGAAGGAAGTGAGGAGTGGCCATTCTGGTGCTCTGGATTTCACACCCCATCCTTAGCTAGAAAAGGGGCTGAAACCTTTCCAGAGTGTGTGGGAATCACTGTTTTCTGTTGCCTTCACTGATTATTCAGAATAAAGCCAAGTAAGGGGATGGGGGAGGGGTGTGAGGGTGCTTAGCGGGGCTCCTCTGAGGTGGGGTTATTTGAGCGGAGCTCTGAGTGAAGTGGGAAAGGGCTTTCCAGGTGAAAGGAACTACAAATGGAAAGGTCCCAAAGCAGGCTCCAGAGGGCCCGGTGAACTTGTTTCTATCCAGCCAGTTCTTCCCCCACCCCCACAGATTGAGAAGTGGACAATTTGCTTCTATCTGGATGTAGATTTCAGCATCTTCCAGGGGTGTCTCTGAGCCCTGTAGACAACAGTGTCTTTAGGGCTGGGGCAGGGGTGGCAGTTAAGGATACAGAGAGAGGCCAGCAGAAGAATCACCTCTCCTGAATGCAGCTACCACTCCCCGACCCACTTCTAAGGTGGGCATTTTCCTTTCCTCTGCCAAGGCCTCAAGGGATCAACGCGGCACCCATAGACCTAGCCCTGGTCCTTGCACGGTGGGGCTTCCTGCTGAGCTGCTGCTGGTGGGCTAGGTCCGGGAAGGGTTGGGGGCTGCTTGAGAGAACTAGAGACAGGCCATCTGGCCTGCTGCACCCCTCCTGTCCCCAGACCTGTCTGCAGCACTTGTGCTGGGTGGTGCTGGACAAGCTCATGCGAGAACCTCGGGTCACATGGGGGTAACTAGTAGTACCCACCTCAGAGGATTACTGGGAAGGGGGACAAACACATGAGAGTGGTTATATGTTGATGCTAGTAATAACTGGAAGAGTAGCAGGGAGAGGCATTGCATGAGTCACAACCTCAACTCCCAACCAGGTCTCCTACATGCAGTACAGATGTCCACTTTCCAGAAGAGCAGGTGGACCCCTCTGGAGGGGATGGTGAGGGCCTGGGGTTTTGGGAGATGAGAGGAATGGTCCTCTTCTCTGGTTCCTGAGGCTCTAAGGGCCAGGGCAGTCAGTGACCTCTTCCCAGGCAAACCCCTCCAGGAACTGTGAGGGGCTCCAGCCTCTCTTTGTATATTGTGCAGGATTTAGAAAGGCATTTGGGTGAGCACTATCCAATAGAAATAAAATGTGAGCCCACATTTGTAATCTTCACTTTTCTTAAAAACAGGTGAAATTAATTTTAATAATATATTCCATTTAACCCAATATATCCAAAGTATTATAGTTTCAACATATAATCAACATTAAACATTATTAATGAGATTTTGCATTCTTTTTTCATACTAAGTCTTTGAAATTAGAGTGTGTTTGACCCTTACAGGCCATCTCAATTTGGAACAGCCACATTTCAAATGTCCAGTTGCCACATGTGGCTACTATAGAGGACAGCACAGCTGGGACAGCCTTTAGCCCCATTCCTGCAGCCCAAACCAGTTTTACCCAACTCTGGCTTCAAGATGGAGGAATTGTGAGATGATACTTGCCTCTTCATGGCACCCCAGAAATACTGTTCCAGCAGAATAGATAACGAGGGAAGAAAATTTTTATACTGACTGAAGGAAAAAATTCAGGAAAAAAAAAGAACTAAACTGCTCTCACAGTAGATTGTTAGTAAATGTACTAAATCCTGATTAATTCCAACACTCTTGATTTGTAACAGGTGATCAGTTAGATATGGTGTGAAATGCCTGTGATATCTATTAAGAAAAATAAAGTAATATACAAAACTCATAAGTTTATCTTTAATCTATTGTGATTGTTGATTTTTTCCATTAGCTTACCTTCTCAGTACCTGTTTTTTATTAGTTATATGTACAGTATTTGTAAATATTTGTATTAAACACTTGAAAGGTACTAAAATACTTTAAAGTATCAATTAGGACTTTTCGCCAGTTCACACATAATTACCCCTTCCCTCTTTCCAAGCCTTCCTTGTACTTTTTTTTTCCCAAAGTAAAAGAAACTTGGTAGTATACTACTTCAAAACTGTCAATCAGGAAAGTGGTAGTTAGGACAGTCTGGAAATCATTCTTTATTTGGCACAGTAATATTTTATTTTTTCTTTCAGATTTCCTTGCAGGCATAGACCCCTTTGCTTCCAGAGCAAGCTCCAGCAGAAGAGAGACTTGAAGGGTGCACCCTGGCACTCAAGCACCAAACCTGCATCCTAGACCAGGGTCTCTCTTACTCCACATCTGTAATGGGGGGAAATGGTATCTTTGTGTATATGCCATTTATGTGTGCATGTTTGTGCTTGTGTGTTTGTCTTACCTTCCTTGGGCATGTGCCCTGGGAGGCAGTGGCCTGGCAGAGGGTGGGTTCCCAGAAACTGGGCCTGAGAGGTGCCACGGTCCCCAGAGACCCCCAGGTAAGATGGAACAGTCACCGAAGCATGAGCATTTGATGTATGAGCATCTCTTTGGCATTTGGGATCAACCACTGAGTCTTGAGGGAAGGTTTTATTCACATGAGGGCAAACATGCCTTTGAATTGATAACCAGCTAGAATCAGCAGCCCAAGTGTCTGGGCTGAAAGTTCCCTCTGGAAGAACTGAGAGACTACCTCTAAAGTCTGCTCTCAGATCTGCAGAGGGGCTCCTACCCCTGCTTACAGATTTTGCTTAAAACTCATCTTCTTTGAATAAGATGTCTGGGATTTAAAATACTCCTGACCAAAAAAAAAAAAAAAAAATAGTGTGTGGGGTGGGAGAAGTGTCATAGATGAAACAGATAGCAAAGTGATTCATGATACTCTTCTTGTTAGTTTTTTATATTTGAAAATGTCCATTAAAAATGCCCTCGTTGAGGAAATATTTCCTTCTTTCTCTCCCTGCTTCTGTCCCTTCTGCTCAGTTTAAATTCACGTCATCCCTCTTACTTCTCCCTTGCAGGGCACAGCACATCCTGCTCCAGAGACACCAGAAGAGAAGACCCTACACGGTCTACTCCTGCCCAATGCAGAGGGGAGCAGAAATTCCAGAGCCCACCCCTGCAGGTTGGTGGCTTTCAAGGCTTTTTTCAGTTGACCCCATTTGCATCCAAAAGATGAGGACTCCATCTATGGAATGTTTCAACCAGAGCTCTCAATATTTATGATGAGTTTTCATCTGCTAATAAGAAAATGACTGCTGACCATTTTGTTTGCTTCCTCTCCCTGATCTTTTGGGTAACACGGCCTATAACTGATAGCAACTATAGCTAATCTCCAGTATCCCACTGAATTGAGCTGGGGACAGATCCATGGGCTTTGAGGGAAGCAGTCAGTGATGAGGCCAGCCAGGTGAGGAGGACAGCCCCATTTGTGCTCTAACTAGAGGGCACAGGAGGTTCTGTGCACAAAGGCTGACCCTGCTCCCAGACACTGCCTAGACCAACTTGTCAGAAGGACTCAGGGATACCATTTGAGATAAAGGGGATAGCAGAGCAGACTCTGTCCCCATAATAGGGCTTCTCTGCTACTCCAGGTTCTCAGACCCCTGGAGCTAGGGCAGTGAAGAAAGTCTGCAGAATGTTTCCAAACAACTTGGATGCTCTGAGAATTAGAAAGGATTCCCCTTCCTTCTCACCAGCCTTCCCTGAAAATGTGAAAAGGACTTCTTGGATAATACCATTAACTTTTGATAATATTCTTTGTGAATTATCCATGCTCCCTTTTCAGCCCTTTCCTGGATCTTGAGTTGCTTTCTCAAGGCTAGGGGAGGGAACTTCAGGGCTGTGTACTGGTATGGAGTGGTTGTTTATCAGGTACTATCCGAATACTTTGGATATTTCTGGAGCAATACTTTGGGGTTTCTCAGATACCTTCCTTTGCCCCAGGCCTCAGCCCTTTCTGTGCCTTTTGACCAGGCTGCCGCTGCTGGATGAGTTTATGCTTCATCTCATTGCGGTCCTTGTCCTTCCAGCCCAGGCCTGGCTGGGTTCACTTTGGTGATTTAGAAAACCCGGGTGTCAGAAAAAGTGTTGGTATAGTCTAGGTCCAGGGGACTTCTCATTGCCCATCCCTTCTTGGTCGTTTCCTAGTGCATCTCCAGGCCAAGATCCCGGTCTAAGGCCAGAAAAAAGGCTGGGCCTCCTCCACTCCTGAGCAGTGTGCTGGAGGCAAGCTTCCCTCTGAGTCCCTCCTGCCCTTCTTGGTGGCACAAGAACCCCCTTCCCCATATTTCTAAGACTCCCGTGGGCTTTGCATCCTCTTGGACAACCAAATCCAGGAGATGGCCTAGCTGAGGAAGTTACAGGAAATGGAAAGTCAGTACTCGCCCGTCTATTCCGCAAGGTGTAGCTGTTGCAGCTGCTGCTGGGGCTCACAGTGACCTTCTCCCTACGGAGCTCACGGTGCAGGGCGAACTTGGCTACAGCCCACCCCTGAACAGCCGTAGTACCTGCCTGTGAGAGAAGGACCCGTGGAATCCACAGAACAGTTTTCCACGCCTTTTCCTCTTCCCTATGCTATTGTTTTTTCCAGGATTTAAGAAAACTGAAAATAACCCGCAGCTCAAGGAGGTAGACGACGGAGCGTGAGCGGCACGCTTCCCTGCTGGCCTCGCCCCTAGTCTGCTCCCCCAGGGCGCCCCGGCTGGGCCCTCACCATGTTCGCTGCATCAGAGGCGGCGGCGGCCGCGGGCAGGCCTTACGCGTGCAGTGAGTGCGGCAAGAGCTTCCGCTATAGTACGGTGCTGCTGCGGCACCAGCGCGCCCACGGCGGAGACAGCTGCTTCCGTTGCCTAGACTGCGGCGAGCGCTGCGCACGGGCTGCCGACCTCCGAGCACACCGACGCACCCATGCCGGCCAGACGCTCTACATCTGTAGCGAGTGCGGCCGGAGCTTCCGCCACAGCAGCCGCCTCGACCAGCACCAGAGTGCGCACAGACAGCACAGCCGCTCCTGCCCCTGCCGCGCCTGCGGCCGCCGCTTCCCACACCTCCCAGCTCTGCTGCTGCACCGGCGCCGCTGGCACCCACCTGAGCGGCCCAGCCGCTGCCCGCTGTGCTCCCGCACCTTCCGCCAGAGTGCACTGTCCTACCACCAGGCGAGGGCGCACCCGTGGGGGACACCTGTCCCGCCCGCCGACCGGCTCCACCGCTGCGCACAGTGCCCACGGGCGTTCCGCAGCAGCACCGCCCTGCGGTGCCATGAGCGCGTCCATGCAGCCCAGAGCCCTGGCAGCTCCACATCCCAGCAGCCACGTGCTCCAGACACACACCAGTGCGGTGTGTGCGGCAAGATCTTCTGCAAGAGCGCCACACTAACACGACACCTGCAGACGCACTCAGGCGAGAAGCCTTTCAAATGCCCGGAGTGCGGCAAGGGCTTCTTGGAGAGCGCCACGCTGGTGCGCCATCAGCGCACACACACGGGCGAGAAGCCCTACGCTTGCGGCGACTGCGGGCGCTGCTTCAGCGAGAGCTCCACACTGCTGCGCCACAGGCGCAGCCACCAGGGCCAGCGGCCGCACGCATGCACCACCTGTGGCAAGGGCTTTGGGCAGCGCTCCGACCTGGTGGTGCACCAGCGCATCCACACTGGCGAGAGGCCTTTCCCGTGTCCCGAGTGCGGTCGCCGCTTCAGCGACCGCTCAGACCTCACCAAGCACCGGCGCACGCACACGGGCGAGAAGCCCTACCGCTGCGAATTGTGTGGGAAGCTCTTCACGTGTGTGTCCAACCTCAATGTGCACCGGCGCAACCACGCTGGCCACAAGCCCCACAAGTGCCCCGAGTGTGGCAAGGCCTTCAGCGTGGCCTCCAAGCTGGCGCTGCACCGCAAGACACACCTGGGCGACCGGCCAGCAGAATGTGCTGAGTGTGGCAAATGCTTCAGCCACAGCCGCTCGCTGTCGCAGCACCAGCGGGCCCACACACGTGCTCGCGCCGCCGCTGCCACCCAGGTCCCCGCAGGAGCTGCCCTCATCTTTGCTGGGCAGGCAGGACAGGAAAAGCCGGAACTTTTTGTGTCCCAGTTGAGGGAGACTTGCTGAGAGGCTTCTCTGGAGTGGGCTAGGCAAGCACCAATATACTGCCACAGGGAAGGTGGGGCAGCTCCCAGATGGAGGTCTGTGGAAAGGTAGCACAGCCTGTCACCTTTCCCTATCTCTGTTGGTAGCCCTTCACCTGGCCTCCTGCCATGCCCCTATATCTACTTCCCTTGTCAGCTCTTTTCCTGGCCTCAGTCCTTCTCCCCCTCTGGGGTGTAGGTGCGGGGGCCGGAAAACCTCCAAGACCCCACAGCATAGAAGAGAGCCCAGGTATTGGTGTGTTCCACCACTGCTGTTGTGCTCTCAGGTGTATCCTCGTTTCCCATCTGTGTGTTGTCTTCTCCTGTCCCCTCTCCTTTTTCCAGTCTTGAGTCTCCTCTACCTCTCCTTCCTGGGGACTTTTGCTGCTGTGCCTTTTCAGGTAATGATCACAGATGTGGCCACATTCACATCCCACCTGCCCTGTGGTCTTCTTGCCTCTTGGTTCTACTTAACTGTTAGTCTCTCTGCTGCTTTCCTCCTGGGCTTCTGAGATGGTGGGAGAGCTCACTTCAGTGAAGGACGTTTACACACCAGAAGGACCTAGCCTACTGCTTGGCAGAGATGGCCTGCCTACGTGAACGTGGGCGGGAGCACTCAGCATGGCCGCCCACTTTCCCATGGGCCAGACCTGATGGTGTCCAGATCAAGGTGCCTCTCAGGACAGTGTTCTCCAGCCAGATGGGGGACATTAGCTCTGGGACTTGGGCCAAGACTACATGGGTCCACAAAACCAGGCACTGCCAATTTGAGCATCAGAATGTTATTTCTGAATCAAGCTTGGAGCCATGGGGAAACTGAGCTCCACAGAGGCGACAGTGCAGGGTGGAAAATTCCCTGGAATTGGCTAGAGATTTTTTGCTTATGGCTGGTGAAATAAAGAGTTGTTTGTTTGGGTTCTGGATGCCAAGAGCCCCCTTTGTCAAACCTGAGGCTGCTGTCTTTGCAGACTTCAGGAGTGATCCAAGACCCAGGCCCTTTCAAAGTTCCAAGGTCTCATCGCTTCCCAAGGTAGCTCAGCCATCTTGCATGTATAGCTCCCTCGATTTTGCACTGGAAGGCACGACTATTCAGGGGCCTATACATTTGGTTCTCTTGGTTAATGGAGAGTACAGATGTGGCCCAGAATCACATACCTCTTTTCCTGCTCCAGCCCATATCTCTAGAATGACCCAGCATTTTCCATACTGTCACAGCCTGCCCTGCTTGACTGCAAGGGTGGGTGTGATACTCCACAGGAAAGGGTTGCAAAGTGCCAACACAAATTGGTAAAGAAAGCTGGGTCCTCAGGGTGGGGGTAGATGGGGGCCTACAGAGAGAGGAACAGGGCCCACACCTATGGTGCACTCAGACACATTCTAGCAGAGCCTGCTTCCAAAGAAATCAGGCGCCAAAACACTCACTCTGCCCACACGTGTCTGTGTAAAATACTGGGTTTATTCTGTCCTTTAGGAATCCTAGACTAAAGTAGCCTGGCTGCCCTAGAGCCCAGTCTTGCTCCCACCCTGCACTCTCCATAACACTAGTTTCTAGGGACCAGGCATCTGGCTCTTTCTCTCCTTGCTCCTTTTCAGTCCCTGAGGTCTGGCTCCCAAAGCCTAGAGAATGCTCACTGCTGAGGGAGCAGGGTTGGAGCCTGAGGAACCGGAGAGAGCCTGGACCCATCACCAGACCCCAGGGGTGCAGGGGCAGAGATGCTAGGACAGGGCTCCAGTAGGCCAGGTGACTCTTGTGGGGCGGGGTGCAGGGCCGGGTGGCTTTTGCTGCAGTGAGCTGCGACACTGTCTGGCTTCTCAAAGCACTTGCCACAGAACTCACAGGGGAAGCGCAGAGTAGCTGCTGTCTCTGCATGCTTGCGCCGGTGCCAGTTCAGGGAGGCCTTCTGGCGGCAGGTGAACCCGCAGATCTCACACCTGAGCCAGGGACAGCAAAAGGAAGGAAGGGGCCTCAGCCCATCTTGACTTCCCCAGGGGTTCCTCCTGATCCCAGCTGTCCCTGTCCTGCCAGCCCCCCTGCCAACCCTCCCTCCCCCACAGATTCCCTCCTCCACACTCACTGCAGGGGTTTCTCTCCAGTGTGGATGCGCCGGTGGATGATGAGGTTGCTGCTGGTGCGGAAAGATCGGGCGCAGAACTCACAGATGTAGTCCCGAGTATCTGCGGGTGCACGGGGACACCCCAGCATCCATCCCCAGGCTGTGGCCTGTCCTCGGCCCACACTACCCACCATCCCCCACAGGAGTACTGTCCCTGTTCAGCCTGCATATCCCACCCTTTCCGGCCCCCAAGTGTCCTGTGGCTGTCAGCAGCCAATCTCCTCTCCTCTCCTCTCTTTTTCCCTGACCCTGCCCTCCCTGCCAGCACCTGCCCATTGCCCATCTGCAGCAGCTCTCACAGGCCTGCTGTGGTTTTTCTCCTACACCTTCTAGCCTCAGGGCCTGCAGTGAAGGAGATATCCTTGCTTCTCATGGTGTCCTTTAGACCTCTGTCCCACCAATGCACTGTATGTCCTGCCATCAGACCACAAACACCCACCTGCAGCCTTCATCCCCTTCACTCCCCTGTGCTCCACACAATCTGGCTCCAAGCCCTCTCCTTGGCCACCACTCCTGCTCTCGTTTTGTTTTATACGTGTCCAGCACTCGACTTCTCTGTTCCCTGACCTTCACTGACCTGGTGCCCCACCATTCTCAGCCACCACTCCCAGGTCACACCCTATCACTGCACCACCTTGAAATCACAATTTCAAGCAACCCAACTCCAGCCATGGCCTCCTACCTTTTCCTGCTACAATAATCCCATGACTCCAGGCTGCCAGTCCAGCAGCCTGCCACCTTCCCATAGGGGGTCTTTGTAGCCCTTCTTCATTCACACTACCAATTAACCTGTCCCCCTCTCCCTCTGCTGTACCTGCTTGGTTAAAACCCAACTTAGGATAAACACAATCCTTGGCCTGCTTCAGGCCTGAGCATGTGTGCTGAGGGGGGGCAACACAACACACAACCCCCCCCAGCCTCTCCTTTCATCTACAACCACAAGTCTCAAGGGTCCCCCTATGCCTCTGCATTTCCCTGGTCAGTTTACTCTCCCACCCTCTAGAGTCCAGAAGGCCATTTTCCACACCACCTTCTCTCTCCACGAGCCTCATTCAGCAGTGATCTCGTTTAAGTCATCAAGAAAAGAGAAGCCAGAAGAGAATGCCCAGATCCTCCCCCACGTGATCCACCAGGCAACTTGCTTCTGTGACCTTATACATGAATACTCCCTGCTCCCCTGTGGCCACCCTCCAACTGCCCGAGACACACCCCTCCTCACTGAATTGAGGTTGCCCACCATGGCCCCTGCATCAGCAAGCCTTTCCTCCCTGTGGGATCATTCCCATCTCTGTGCCCTGATCTCATAGCCCTTCAGTTAAGACTGCATTTTTCTGCTTGTCTTCACAGCAAAACTCCAAAGAGTTGCCCATACTCACTGTCTCCACTTCGTCAGCTCCTCTCTGCCTCAAACCCACTCCATTCTGTCACCTCCCTTGTCACATGCCATCTTGTCACTTGGTCAAGGATGGCTTCCCACTGCCAGTCCAGTGGCCTGTCCTCGTCCTCATCTTACCTGGCCCTGCAACACTGGCACAACTCACCCCTGCCTCTTCCCTGGAGCACTGTCTCCACTTGGCTCCTCAGATACCTCTCTTCACCTGCCTCACCAGCCCCTCTGCAGCTGCCTTCTCACCTGCTCTGCTCAGACTTCTTCTCTACCTATGCTCACTCCCTCTGTGTAGGTACACTCTCTTAATGGCTCCACATACCACCTATGAACACATTTTTTCCCCCACCATCTTCCCGAACTCCAGATTCACATCTTCTGGGATGGGTAATAAGCATGTCCCAAATAAAATGTCCCTTTCCCAAAGCCTGCTCTCCCTTGTTTTCAGGAAATTGCATCACCTTCTGCCCAGTTGCTCCGGCTGGAATCTCCTAAGTCACCCCTGACTCCCCGCTGCCCATCCCACCAGAGGCCAATCTGTCCTTCCCACAACAGCCTTTCTGGCTCCACCGTCACACTCAGGTCAGCCTCCAGCCACTTCCCACTAACTTGACTGCACCAGTGCATCCAGGCTACCATCACTGTGCACTGCACATTCCTGCAGCCTCCCTATTCTCTACACAGTAGCCACAGTGCTCCTTTTAAAGTCAGTTGTGTCCCTCCACTGCTCAAGACCCTGAGATGGAGCCCATCTCATTCAGGCAGGAGCCAGGCCATCCTGATGGTGGTCATGGAGGTCTCTACCACCTATCTGATCTCTCTTCCTTCCTTTCTAACCTCCTTGTCGCCTCTCCATTCCTGGAACGTGCCATGCAGATGCCAGTTCAGGGACTTCCCACGCGCCGCCCATAAAGGTGGACAGGTCTCCATTCCTCCCTTCACTTAAGTCTTTGCTCAAAGCACCTTCCCTTTCTACAAGAGCAACTCCTCTCTCACACTCTCCTCTCTTCCTTTCACATCTCTTCATAGCCTTGTATCACTAGAACGGACATCTTAAGAGGTTAGGACTGCCAGCTTTGTTCACTGCTGTATCCCAGCACCTAGCACAGTCTCAAGCAGGCAGGTGCTCAAGAAAAAGAGAATGCAGAATGAGTGACTGAGTGAGAGTCAGTCATCCCACAGATGGGTGTGACAGGACCTACAGATAGGAAGTGATGGGGCCGACAGGGTAAAGTGAAGGGACCCACAGGGAGGGAGGTGAAGGGACTCACAGGGGAAAGTGAAGGGACCCACAGGGAAGAGGTGAGGAGGCATTTCCACCGCTCACCACTGTGCAGCTTCACGTGCTCCTTCAGGTGTTTCTTAAAGTTGAAGGACTTCCCACAAGCTGGCTCTGGGCAGGAGAAGGACTTTTGGTGGATGTGCTGGTACTTCTTGTGGTGCTACGGAAGGAAGCAGGTGGTCTCCTCAAGGAGACCGTCAGAGCTGACCCAGCAGGCAAGCTCCTCTGCCTCCTCTGCCTCCTCCCCATCCCCCAGCAGTTCTCCCTGTCACTGCCAGCTCACGTCATCCTGACTAGTCCTCACCCTGATCCCATGCCATCCTGACCCCAAACTCTGCCCTCGACTTCTATTATTTCACCTCCTTGCCATACCTTCACCTTCCAATGCCCAGTTCCCTGTACAAAGTTCCACTCTGGTGACAGTCCTGGTTCCCTAACCATGGATTCACTATCTGCCAGGGACGGGAATACATTTTGGTGGGTATGATTATCCTCTTTGATGTCAATATTAATGTACAACAATATATCACCCAGATTGCCTACTTTTTATTAACAGCTCACCACAGGTATATATTATATGATTTTCTCCTAAATTTGCTTTGGAAACACAAACACTCTCAACCTGGAACACTTTTAAAGGCAGTGTTTAAAGGAAACACAAACATTCTCAACCTCAACTCTCCAGCTATTTCTGGGAAATATTTCTCTTTTAATCTGACCTAATTTCACATCCTGGCTCACTAAATTGCATTGGCTTTCCCCTGCTCCATAATCCCATTTTCTGGTAGTTAAACTGCTGCTGGGGGCTACTTCAGTCTCCTCCATCAACAGGCTCAGGTACGTTTGACCAGCACTGCTGAATGTTCTCCTCAGTCCAGAGCTTCCAGGCCACCTGGGGACTTTCCCCCTGCCTTTTTTCTCCCAACTCCCGTCCACCCATGCCTCTCCATCCCTCTGGTCTGGGCCTTCTCTCAGCCTCTGCACCTGCCCTGTGAGGGCTCCAGCTGAGTGTGGAGCTGAGGCCCTTCCCTCTCTGTGCCTCAAACCTCTCCTGCAGTGAGGCTGGGACATGATCATCTCCCAGTTCTCCTGGCGCCAGGACCACCCACTCAAGCCAGCAGGGCAAGGTGGGCAGAGTGTGGACTCCGGAACCCCAGCACTATCACACACTAGCCGAGGAGCCTTGGGCAACGCTTAACCTTTCTGTGTGCCTTGGTTTCCTCATCTGCAAAGCAGGAACAGTATCAGCACCTACTCCATAAGGATGCAGCAAAGATCAAAAGACTTGACACACATCAACTGCTTAGAACAGTCAATAGCACCCCAAGAGCCTAAAGAATGCCACCATCATCTATGTGTGGTCCACAGAGGGCCCGTGCAACAAGCAATAGTGGGCAGCGGCTGTGCACCTGAGGCCTGGTTTTTTGCCTTATCTACCAGTCATCTGGCTGATTATTAACTGTAGGCAAGCTCTGCTTGTACCCCAATCCCTCTCTTCCTGGCTTCGAATCTCCCCACACCCCAGGCTCCTTCGCCTCAGCTTCTCCTTCAGCCTTCTCCCCAACCCCAGCGGCCACACAGAACCCAACCTGTGCCCCTCACATTCAAATACTGCCGATTGGAGAAGATCCTTCCACAGCCAGGGAAGTCACATGGCAGCAGCTCTCTTTTGGCAGCTTTCCTGGGGGAAGAGAATAGGGAAGAGCATGAGGACAACAGCAGGCTCTCCTCCACCTCCCTCCTCTCACCCCCCTCCCCTGATGCCCCTACCCCAGTCCTACCTAATTCTCTTGGGGCCGATCTGTACAGTGTCCTCATCCCAGGTGGAGGCCAGAGCAGACTGGGCCTGACTCCCAGGGCTATGGGCAGCAAAGAGGGAGCAGAGGGCCTCGAGGGAGAGCCATGTCCCAGGACGCCCCTGCCCTCTGTCTCAGCCATCAGGTTACCTGGCCAGGGGCTGAGTCTGCTGGGCCGCTTGAGGGGTCCTGCTGAGCTCCAGCTGTACCCCGACTTCTGCAGGCAGAGGAGCTCCATAACCCAATGAGGATGCTGACGAGGATGGTGCAACAAAAGGAACTGGGGGAGCTGCAGGGGCCGGGGATGTTTCCCCCTCCTTAAGTTCATGGGTGACAAGGGAAGGGGGTGGTCTGGGGGCATCTGGCTCACTGCTGAAAGGAGAATGAAGAGAATGAGGGCATTATCTTCCTGGGCCTTCAGCCAGCCCCAGCCCAACCCCAGCCCCTAAATCACAAAGATCCCAAATTCGGAACAACTCAACTCCTACTCTTACCCCAGGATCTCTGTTCACACCTGCTTTCAGCCTTCATTCTGCCCCAGAGCCTAACTTCACCCTTTTCCACCCAAATTCAAAGCCTCCAGGTCTTTCTACCTTCTTCAAAGTCCATCCTGTCCTCCCCACCAACAAGCTCTTCCCTAGAGTCTGCAAAGCTCTGGGTTCCCTGGCCATCTGCCCCCTCCCTCCTCCTGCTCCGCTCAGCATCCTCCTTCAGCCCCAACTTGCTCATCTGGGGAGGAGCTGTAGGTCCATGGGCTGGCATCGCTGAGCATCTCCTCTTCATCTTCATCTTCCTCCTTTCCCTCTTCTTCTCCTGGGGGCAGGAAGGTCTCTGGTGGGGGTCCCACCCCCCTGCAGGTCCAAGGAAGGCAAGCTTGAGGTCCTACATGCTCACCCACACTATCCACCCAGGTCTATCCTGTCCCTCCCACCCCCAGCCTCACCGGGGCAACCTGGCCTCCTGAGTCCTCTCATCATGTTCAGATTCCAGACCTGTTGGCACAGGTAGGGTCAAAGGGGAAGGAATTCTGGGCTGGAGAGATGAGGACAGGTGGAGTTCTAAGGTCTGAAGTGGTAGGAGCAGTCTTAGGAAGAAGGAAGAGGAGAGGACAGAGGCTACTAGAGTGGGAGGGGTATTTTATTTTAGAGATGATACAGTCACATGGTTCAAAAAAATAAAAGTATAAAAAGGTACACTGTGAAAAAATCTCCTTTCCAATACTGTTCCCCAGTCACCTAGCTCTTCCCACAGGCAACCTGGTTTCCTACAATGCCCTTCCAGAGATATTTTATACATTCATAAGTACACACAAATATATATTCTTTCTCCCCTTATTTTTCCAACAAGGATAACTTACCATACATCTTATTCTGTATTTTGCTTTTCATACCTAAAAATATATTTGAGGATATATTTCCTTATCAGTATAGAGTTTTTCCATTGAGAAAGTAGCATTTTTAGAGAATGGGGTTCTGAACTACAGACATGCGAATGCTTTTCCCTCCCTTTTCTCCACAACTCTTCTTTCTCCCAGCCTACCTGCAGGCTCCTGCCTGCCCCTGGCCTCGGGGCACCAGCTTCTTGGGGCAGTACTTGGAAGGAGGACCGGCTTGGGCTCCTCTGGATGTGTGGGGCCTGAAGAGGGGCCCCAGGAGAAGGTGTGGCCTGCTGAGCACTCCCACACAAGCCCCCCATCTCGGCCCCCAGGCCCGCGCAGTCCAGGCACCAGGCTGCACTCTCGGCTGTGGGCATGAGACAGGAGCACCAGATACTGCAAACCCTTTGGGGGCAAAGGCTCGGGACCTGGAGGGGTGAAGATGACAGTCAGGGCAAGCTGCGAGGCCCCCTACTCTCACCCTGGAAAGCCATACCCAGACAGCCCTGTCCGCAAACCCACTGGGCAACCAGGTTCCTAGTCCAGTTTACCACTCTTCATAGCCCAGAACCCCCAAGGTCCTGAGACATTGCTCCCTTCCCACAGGCTGCCCCCATTAAACTACCTTGGGCTCCCCAACTCCCCCACCTCTTCTCAAACTCACTCAGTTCCCTCTAATCGAATCCCCTTAGGGAAGTGTTCCCGGGTCACATCACTCCTTGTTGTTGCCCCTCTTCCCTCTCTGGCTCCTAAGCCCCCACCTCCAGCCATTCCCTACCTACCTGCACAGAGCACACAGACTGAAGAAGTGTACCTGCCAAGGGGACAAGAGGCAGGTCAGGTGGGGGCCCAGTCGGCCAACTGCCCTCAGCTCTGGCCATTCACACACTTAAGGGCCAGCCCTAAGGGTCCCCTATTTCCCGGGGAGCAAGAGGAGGGGCGCAGGACGCTGGGAAGCCATAAATCATACAGGCCATCCTGCTGCAGTGAGAAATCTGCCCGTGGGAAGGAGCAGCGGGCCAGCACTTGGCCCTGGGAATGGGGCTAGGTGTTTCTGCGTGGGTGCCCTCCCCTAGAGCCTTGGCCCTGGCTTCTAACCGGTCCAGCAGGAACTTGGCGAGCTGGGAATGCAGGGAGAAGCCCAGCTGCTCTTTGAGGAGGCACCACTGCTCCATGTGGCCGCCCAGGCGGATGCGGCACTTGCTGCGCCGCGCGTCCAGCTGCCGCCGCTTCTCCCGCCGCGTGCGAGATGCGTCCGCCGGGGAGGCAGCCATGGGCACCAGGGCCTGCTGGGTGCAGGAGACACGCGTGTGGGCCAGCCTGATCCAGGGCCCGCGGCCTGGGCTTCACCCGCCGCTCGGGCCTCAGTTTCCTCATCAGTGAATTGAGGCAGGACTAAACCATTTCAATAGCATTTGCTGCCACTGGGTCCAAACCATCCCTGCTTATATTACAGGGCGCGTGAACTAACCAACGCTTTGGGGTGGGTGTCGTGGGGTGGGAGTTAGGGGGACAGGGTCAAAGTCAGAAAAACGGCCTGACCCCGCGCTCACTGGAGTGTTGAAACAGGACCTATGGGGAAGGGGTGTGAGACTTTCACGGGGAAATTTCAGCTGGGGCTGGGCTGGGGCTAGGTAACAGTTTAATCTTGAAAACGGCATGAGCCTTTACTGGTTGATGGGGGAAGGAGAGGTTGCGTGCATTGGGGCGCTCGATGTGGGTGAGGCCAGGTGTCGGGGGTCGGGAGGGCCCCCCCGCCGTCTCGGGCCGCCCCACTTAACGCTCACAATACGTGGTACGTGCCAATCCCAAAGGCAGCTTCCAGGTCGCCAACAGAGCCCGCCGCGGCCCACCCCCACCGCAGCCTTACCTGCGTGCCCCCACCCGCCCTCAACCCGACTGCGCCTGCGCCTTCCCCCGCCTCGTGCGCGGGCCCGGAGAACGGCAGGAGGACAGGGGCCCACCTCGCGCGCGCCGCCGCCGTTTCTCTTTTAAGAGGAACCCGTCCCCTCCGCGTCGGCGGCTCCAGCCCGGAACTAGGGCCGGGGCCGGGTTGGGGGGAGAGTAGGAGGCTGGGGCGACGCACGCCTGCGCACTGGTCGCTCTGCGCAACGCCTGCCGGGAGCCGTGGTTCCCGCACGAATTGTCTCCGCGCGTCGCTGAGCTGCGTTGCCGTTGCGGACCCGTAGTTTTTGTGGTGAGTGTCTGCGCTTGATGACCAAATTCTTGTGGAAATGGAATAGATAGGGCCAAACCTAACTCATCAGCGCGGACCCCAGCCCTTCCAGCCTGCCCAAGAATGTCGCCTCCGGAATTGTTCCTACTTTCTCCTTTACCTTCAATTTTCCTCTCTCAGATGCCACCAACAGGCAAACACGTGCTGCAGAGTAAGCCACCTTAAAAGCCACTTAGAGCCTTCTCAAGACCCCAAGAAGGTCCCCGCCAACTATAGCCCATTCCTTTTGTTTGCATCAACAGTCCTCTGAAGGGGCCGGCCCGGGGCACAGCAGTTAGGTTTGCACGCTTGGCTTTGGCGGCACCAGGGTCCGCCGTTTGGGATCCTGGGCACGGACCTACACACTGCTCATCAAGCCACGCTGAGGCAGCGTCCCACACAGAGTAACTAGAAGGATGTACAACTATGACATACAGCTGTCTACTGGGGCTTTGGGTAGAAAAAAGGAGGAAGATTGGCAACAGATGTTAGCTCAGGGCCATCTTTTTTAAAAAAAAAATTAACTAAAAAAAAAAAACCCTCCAAAAAGTTGCCTAGGTTCACTATGGACTCTTCCTCACTTTCCATTCTCTCTTCTGTTGACTTCAGTGGAGCTTTCCTCTCTGCTAAGCCACTGGAATGATGCTTCTCAAGGCCACTTGCAGTGGCCACGGTGCTAAATGCTATGGTTAGTTCTCCGCCTTTCCACCCTTAGAGCAACATCTGACAATCTAGATCTTTTGCTCCACACTTCCCTGCCCCCAGGTTGGCTTTCCTGTCTTCACATTCTCCTGGATTTCCTCCTTCCTTGTTGGCTCCTTCTGTCTTTTGTTGGGCCCCCCTCCACTGTCCCACCAAAACACAGAGTGTCCCCTGGCTTGGGCTCTATACCAAGCCTTCTCTCTTCTGGACCAAGTCTTCTCTCTTCTTTCTTCTTGAGTGATCTAATTGGCCCCATGGCTTTACGTACACTGATGACTCCCAGGTTTATATTTCCAGCCTAGCCTCATTTCAGCTCCAGACTCATATATCTAACTGCCCACTTGACTCTCCAGGGATAACTGACTTAAGAACTTAGAATAGTGCCTGGCACATAGAAAGCAGTGACACATGCTAGTTGATGTTTTTCTCGAATATGACCATGGCCAACTTATAACACTTAATAATCCCTGCCCCCTCTCCTATATTAGTAAATGTTGCCATCATCTACCCAGGACAAAAACCTGGAATCAACCTTGACTCTTCTCCTTCTGAAATACCAACACTATATACATCAACTAGACCTGTTGATGGTATCTCCAAAAATACATCTTGAATCCAATCACTTCTGGTCCTCTCCACTGTTAAAACCCTACTCCAAGCCACCTGTATTATTTTTCTGTGGTTGCTGTAACACATCACCACAAACTTGGTGGCTGAAAACAGCAGAAATTTATTCTCTCACAGTTCTGGAGGCCAGAAGTCTTAGTATCAAGGTGTTGGCAGGGCCATACTGCCTATAAGGGATCTAGGGGAGAACCCTTTCCTTGCTTCTTGTAGCTTCTAGTGGTGGCCAGCATTCCCTGACTTGTGGCCACATGGCTCTAATCTCTGTCTCCCTGGTCATATTGCTTGCTCCTCTTTTGTCTGTATCAAATCTCCCTCAGCTTCTCTCTTATAAGGACACATGATGGCATTTAGGACCCACTTGGATAATCCAAATAATGTCCCCATCTCAATATCTTAAAACAATCACATCTGCAAAGTGTTTGCCAGATAAGGTAATATTCACAGTCTCCAGAGATAATGACATAGATATCCTTTTTCAGCCTACCAGACCACCATCAGCTTTCTTCTGGTCAATGGCCAGCTCCTCCTAATTGGTCTGCCTACTGCTTGCACTCTTACCCTCACAAAGCAGGGAAAGTAACCTCAAAGAGCAAATCTCCTTAAAACCTTTCACTGGTCTCTAGTGCAACCCAAAACCCTTACCGTGGCCTCAAGGCCCTTTGTGATCTGGCCCTTGGCTGCTTCTCTGGCCTCCTTCCCTACCTTTCCTTACTTTGTCCACTCTGTCTTAGCTATGCCCACCTTCTTGCTATTTCTCAAGTGTGCCAAGTTTGCTGGAGAGAATTCCTTCTCTCTGGAGTGCTCACCCCCCAGCTTTTTGTGTGGTTGTTTCTTCTTATGTAAATCTCAGCTCCAAGATCACCCACTCAGAAAGATCCTTTTTGTCATGCTCTGCCCCACTGTGCCCTATTCTGTCTCCTTCATAGCACTCACCATTCTCTGAAATCATTTTAGGGACTTACTTACTTGTATGTTTGTTGTTGGTATATGATTGTTGACTATCGCAGGCTTCTCGTCTGTACCTTAAACAGCCTAAATGACATGGTGTCCAATCATGAGCCACCCTTAGGATAAGCCCAGTATGCCCTGTTCATGCTGTCTTCTTGACTTGAGGTACCAATGACTCAACATACTTGTCTGCCTAGTATGAGGTAGGAAGGAAGATTTCCCACCTTGTTCCAGATAATTTACTCATTAATGAAGGTGTAACACTTACATCAAAAGAGCAGGACTCCATAGGGGACAAATAGGAAAACAATTTATTCTTTCCCCTCATGTTCCTTTAATAGACATCTGCAAAATCCTAGCTCCTCTGTCCTGTGGATGAAATCACAAGCAGTTCCATAATCTTGGTTACTCTTAGATAATAAATGTCCTTTATTCACTTTGAGAACCAAGAAGTTCTCTGGGTTTGATACTTAACCCTCCAATAATATTCTCCAAAGAAATCCTCTTTTTTCCTCTCAGCCTCTCTTCAATTTTTTTTTTGTGTGTGTGAGAAGACTGGCTCTGAGCTAACATCCATTGCCAATCCTCGTCTTTTTGCTGAGGAAGATTAGCTCTGAGCTAACATCTGTGCCCATTTTTCTCCATTTTGTATATGGGACACTGCCACAGCATTGCTTGATGAGTGGTGTGTATGTGCGCACCCAAGATCCGAACCCGGGAACCCCAGGCCACTGAAGCTGAGTGTGTGAACTTAACCACTATGCCACCAGGCCAGCCCCACTCTTCAATTTTTTACATCATTGAAGTAAAGGATGAGTCAAGTCTCTTAAAATAGTCACCTTCTTTGTAAATCCTGAAGAGCAGCATTAAGTTCTTTGGCATGGAGGGGAAGGGGAATTCTCAATATTTGTTCTCTGCCTTTAGAGCTACCTCAGCCCAATATGAGATTAAAGAGTTCCATTTTATCATCCTCTTACAAAGGCTAAATTTGACTTTTTCTTAGCTTTATCTCTTTGAGTTACACAGAATTTTCAGCCTGCTGAAACTGCCAATTCTTTTTCACATGTGAAGTTCCTAAATCTCCCCATGATGAACTCGTGTAACTAGATTTAGGGGTCCATGTGGAGGACATTATATTTGTCCTCATGACATTTATTTTTCCTGGACTCTAGATGGTACCGTAGCCCCCTTCTTATGTCTTGCCTTGGGAAAAGCCAAGTCTAATATTACTGTTGCTGTACCGTCTGAGTTCTCAATATCTTCTCTCCAAACAGAAAAAACACTTTCCACTCCGCTGGTCCAGGAAGGGAAGAGACAAATTGCTACAGCGTTGGAATCAACCCGCTGCTCTGAAATCCTGAGAAGACTCATTTGGAGTGGAGAAGTAGCACTCCGCAGGCAATTTAAGCCCTAATTTTCAGGAAACCGACAGACACCCTCAGCGTTGCTCAGGCCCCGTACGAGGCCCTGTGTCTCCGCCCTCATCCAGTCGTCGTCTGGCGTCTCTTCTCTCCAGCCAGTCGGCATCGCCGGGAGCAATCTAATTCCGTTAGTCCTCGCCCCCTGACAATCTGTGGGCGGTGCCGCGCGCTGCAGCCAGTCACACCCAAGCGTGGCCTACCAGTGCCCTCTGTGACGGCCAGTATGGCGGGGCGGGACAGTATATAAGAGACCCTGGGCTGTGCTCTGCCGGTGGTTAGGGAACTATGCGCGCTGCGTTTGGGCTCCTCCGCTCGTCTCTGAGGGGCAGCGGACGTGAAGGAGAAGGAAACCGGCAGCCGGGACACTCGCCAACGGGAATGTTGCAGCAGTAGGGTTGCTTGCCGCCGCTGCGGCGGGGGGCGCGGCGGAGCGCGCGACGCTGGTTGCGGGGCGACATTGTGTTCCAGGTGCTGAAGCAACAGCTGCCCAGCGACGCCGTGGTCGTGCTACACGTGGTGGAGCGGGACCTCTTTGACCAGATCGTACGCGAGGCGACCTGGCTCAGGTGGGAGGGCGCTGATGAGCGCGGTGAGCGCCGGGCCGTGGGTCCTGCCGAGACCCGCGCCGCGCTCCGGTCGCTCCTGCCCTCGAGCTGCGCTTTGTGTCCGCGCGTCTCCCTTCCCGGCACGTGGCCGGCGGGTGTCTGGCGCGCTAGACGCTCTAGTTCGGAGGGGTGGGCCTTGCGTGTGCGCCCCACCCCCACCCCCCAAACCCCCCACCCCGAGACAGGCAGCCCTGCCGAATAATTGCGGAAAATCGGAGATTTACAGATATAGCTCGGTTATCATTCAGGATGTAGCAGAGATGCGTGCACCTGGGCCTTGGGTGTGTTGCAGAAGAAATGAAGGTGTTTCCAGAGTAATGCCCAGGGAAGGAGAAAACATTTGCAAGTCAGGGAAGTCATGGGTGCAGGAAAAGGTCCAAGCAGACGTGGGAGGTTGGAATCCAGGCACCCGGGAACTCCTGCTGCCTCACCCCCTGGCGAAGTCAGAAATAAAGGAAAATCTGATTCGCTCTGAGTAGAACCTGGCTTGTATACTGCTTTGTTGGGTGGAAGTCTTCACTGGGTGGGTGTGCTGGG